GAAACAGCTGGGGTTTCCCCCCCCCAAGATTTTGTCAAGCCACATTCATAAAAATGTATGCATTTTATTAGGCATTTATGTCATAAATGAATACAGCATTTTGCAGGTCAGAAAGTTCAGTTTTGCTCTCATTGAAAGCACTGGCTGCCCTGGACTTTATTTGCGGGCGTCAGAGTAAAGGGACCATATGTAAATGGAAGAAGAACGACTGGTTTCAGGTGTATGTTTAGCTCACATTCCTACGTTTTCTCCACAGCAGCTCACGTTCTGCCTCCCGACTTTGGTCCGCCAGGAGGCAGAACGTTTTCCCTCCCTGTCGTCCCGCATCACATGCTCCCTGAATGCAGCGCCTCCATACAGACCTCTCTTTTTATCGGCTCTCCTTCGCAGTAGATGACCGTGTCTGGGGCAACGATGCAGTGAGGGCTCGGGTCCGTCTCCACCACCTTGAACTCTACGGCTCTCATGCTTCCCCTCACCAAGAAAATGTCGCCTGGAGACATCACAGCGCTGTCAGAAACACTCAGAAGATGAAGTCTCTGCGACTCAAGGAGCCGGCTTTCGATTTGGCACGATCCGGTTTTCGAACCTTTGTGGACCGGCCGGTACGCCTCCAGAAAGTACGACTTGAGGAAAACGTCAAAGAGGTTCCCGGTCAGGCCCTCGATGGTGTCGTCGATGGGGAGGAGGTGGATCTTTTTCCCATACTTGATGTCAGGGCAGGCATGGATGCTGGCGTGTCGAAAACATGAGCTTTTATCACGTATGGCAACCTTTTCCGTCTATATTTACCGAGACTCCCGGAAATTTTCTTTTGGGATCAACACGGTGTTTTGGATTTCGAGTTGGAATTGAATTTGATTCTCCTGCCTGTGACTCCAAATCAGTCACAGAAAATGTGCATATTTGCTGATTTTTTTATTCTTTTGTAGAGAATATATAAAATATTCGAAAGAAAATGAAATACTTTGATGCAATGCTACGTCACATGCTGTGACTCTGACACTGAACTCCCAAAGTTTAGCCAGTCAGAGGGTGTTAGCTGAAAAAAGACAGTTTCCACTTTTCGTCTTATTGCAGATGGATTTCTATTTGGTATTTGTGCTACTAAATCAGACCGTCGTAGATGTTTCTGGAGGGTTTCTCAAGGTTTAGTGGATTTCATCTGTATGCCGACAATTGTGACCCCTGACCTTCATGAATACCTGGAGTCCGCTCCAATATTAATTTCCGCAAATGAATTGTTGTGGGAAAGGACAACAGAGATGGTCTCCAAAAACACCAACTTGAATACTTTGTTCTCATCTGTGTAATATATATATATATATTTTTTTTTTTAAATTATAAATCGGTCTGAGGAATATCTATCTTCTTGGTAAAAAGGTCAAATTCAAAGTGTGTGTGTGTGTGTGTGTGTGTGTGTGTGTGTGTGTGTGTGTGTGGGTGTGTGTGCCCTCCACACAGATCTCTACCTGATGACATCACCGAGGCGAACTCGCAGGTTGTTGCGCGTCACCCTGTTCATCCGGATCCTCTCGTGCGCGCAGGTGTCGTCCGTCAGGACGATGCACACGGTTTGCCGTCGCTTCCGTCCCCTCAGCACCACGGTGTCCCCGCGGAAGAGCTGCAGCTCCTCCGTCTTATTCTAACGTAAAGACGCACAGCAAAATCGATGCCTTCATGAACCTGCTGTTGTGGTCCGGACTCACACAGAAAGTCACCTGCGACAGGCTGACGATGCTGCTGTCCTCGTTGAGCGCTTCGTCCACGATCAGCCTGTTGGGTCTGTGCTTGTCCTTCAGGATGGCGGTGGAGAAATCCTCTCCCCTCGGCCTTCCAGACAGGAGACACGTCGACACGTTCACATGCAGCACCACATGCTCCACACTCAAAGATCTAGTTTCTTCATGTGACTCTGAGCTGTATTTAGAAACTCCTGGCTCTCCGCAAAGCCTCGATAGACACAAAAATATCTACATTTATCAAAGGTTTTCAGCTTATGATGGAACATTTGCTCTCTTTTGTAAACGTCTACGTCCTTTAATCTGATTTTTGTTTCGTTTTGTGTTTGTATGTTTGAAATAATGCAGCTGTTTACTCACTCTGCTCCTCCCGGGCCTGGCATGTCTTCTCTCCTTCGTCTTGGAGATTCAGATAAGCTCAATTTTACGCTGCAGAATATTCAACAGCCAGTCCCTTATGTTTCAAAGCTTCGAGCTTTCTGTCTGATCTTTTCAGTCTTTGGTGAGCTGCTTCTGTTCTTCAGAGGCCAAAAAGTTCCCAGCCGAGACTCCAGGCCTTTTGCTTTATTTTTTTTCTTCTTCTTCTTTCCCCCTCCTCTCCCCTCACTTGTCTTCAGTCTTCATGTTTGCAGGAGCCGCTCTCTGCCTGTGTGACATGAACACGTCCGTCTGCATCTCCTGTTATAACCCCAACATGAGCGCTCACACACATGCAGGGATCCCAGGCACTTTACCTTGGAGAGCGTCCCAATGCTCCCAGTGTGAGCTTTCCTCCTGCCCCTCCTGCCCCTCCTGCCCCTCGCCTGCAGGCATGTAAAACCTGCTCGCAGCAGCTGCTGAATATTCATGCGGCCAAACAAATTCGAGATTTCTTTTTCTCTTCAAAACAGAAGCTGTGTTTAACGTTGTGTCCTGGATCAGCCACGTCTTTATTCGGTGATGACTTATTTATTTATTTCGTTGTTGTTGAAACGCGAGCTGCTTTGTGTCCCAGCTGCTCTGAACTGTCACCTGCTCCCTTCCTGATGCGCTGAGTGCTTGTGTTGGGTATTCATCGCCTGGGTCAGGGTTCGGAAAGGGGCTTTGGGGCGTTAGCCCGGGGTGGGTGGAGGGACGCGGGATGGCAAGAGAGAAAAAAGAAAAAAAAAGAGTTTTCGGTGTATATTGTCCCTACTAATACTAAAATCGTGGGCTCGTGTATATTTTATGGAAATGCTGTTTGACTTTTATTCATTTAAACTACACTCAAATGTTTGAAAATGATCATCTTTTTGGGGACCAGATGGGGATTTACTGAGTTTAGTTACAGGGTTCCTTATCCTCTAAATCCGGACGAGTTCATTGAATTTTCTCATACTTTGACACGTTGCAACGACAAATCCAGCTGGGATTTTATGCAGCAGCAATTCAGCCCTTTGATCCCGCCGAGCCAATAGAGAGAGTTAACCGGTGTGCCGTTTAATTACTATACAAACTGAAAAAATGGCCGCCCAATTACATTGACAGATAAGCAGGTGGGAGAATCTATTTTTGCAGCTGTTCTTCATGATCTCAACCTGAGTGCAGCATCCAGGGACAGGGAGGTTGGTTAGAGTTGATGGGTTTACTTAGATTGGGGGAGTGAAAACAAATGCAGAGAAAACTGATGAGTGAAAACCACGTCTGATATTTCTTTCCAGTACAGATTTGCTCTCCTTCGTTTTGCTTTCAGTCACATAAAATCCCAAAAGCAGGCGCCGAGGTTTGCGGTCATATTGTGACGAAATGTGAAAATGATGTGTCAACAAATCTACAAGGCACACAACCTTTATGTTTTGCTTTAATTTATTTATTTTTTCTTGCTTTTATTTAATAAAATTGTTCTGCAACAAGTAAGAAATGATGGGGAAAATCAACCATTTTCTACAGCTGTTCCCTCCAAACGGGTTCCTCTCATCAAAAAAGGCGAAGTGACAGAAAACGTTTAGATGACGAAACGTAACAACATCAACGAATAAAGCAAGAGGTAGAGAAAGCTCACAAGTAGGAACACGTCTCAGGAGAAATTATTGCCAAAGCAAACCCATGTGTAAAAAAAAGACAAAGCAAGAAAGTTGTCTAAAAAAAAAAACTTAGAATGGATGCTGAGGAAAAGCTGCTCACATGACGTCACCAACAGTGGAAAAACGCATTTCAATACTTGATTGCCTCACTGATATTCTCTTGTTCAATGAGGATTTTACAATGCAAATATGTATACAGTATTCTGCTGGTTTTGGTGTGTTTTTCACGGTACGTGTAAATTGATCGCAGTTCTCTGTAAATAGCCACCATGTTCAAACGACAGCAATCAGACTCCAGTTAGACCAAAAGAAGCTTGGTCTTGTTTTTTTTTGGGGGGGGGGGGATTTTTTCCCAGTCAAAATAAACAAGAATAACTAAATAAATGTGGGTTGGACGTGTAACTCATACAAAATGCAAAGATCTTCCTTTGTGACGCTTTCAAGAACCGACTGATGAAGACGAAGGATTGGGCTCGACGCGACCAGATGTCAAGTTCGTTTAGCTACTCTGGAACCGACGTTTTCTTTGCTACATAAAAAGTTTCGCATGCATGTAAAGTAAAAAAAAAAAGAAAATATTAGCTCAGTCCCTGAAAATTGATTTTTTCTAGATCGGTTTGCAGCTGCAGAGACTTTGTATTATTGCTCTTGATCCTTTAGACAAGTCCAAATCCAGTCCTCGGGGAAATGTGGCTTAATTACCTCCAGTTCTGCAAAGGCTTAATAAAAACTCATTTGTTTAAATCAAATGATTAGCCAGGTAAGCAGAGCGCAGACATTCAGTTCTGACGAATTGTTTAAAAAAAAATCAGTTCAATCTGTTTTGGAAAAAGAAATAAGTTTTACACTTGGAAATCAAGCTTTAGTTCCTGCAGTGCTGCTTTGGAGCTGCATTTAATGCACCGCAGGTTTGGTTTTAAAACATCTAATGTTTGTTTGTTTTTTCCGGTGAGCTGTGCAGCCCAGACGCAACAACAAAAACAGAGAAACAACAAATTTGAAGCAGGTTTTTTTCATATCGAAACATAATTTAGATCCCAACCATGTATCAAAGTTATACCAAGACTTTTGGAGAAAGAGTTCATTTGATAAAACAATTCCTGACGTCAGAATCCAAAAGGCCCAACCGACCAGAGCAAATGCTTTCTGAACACATTATGGACACAGAACAAAAACACAAACTATCTTACACTGATTACTTAAAAAAAAAAAGTGCTGCAATTTTTTAAAAAATAAAGTAAAATGCCTTTTTGTGTCTGATCTATTCATATGAAAATGTTCTCATATTCTACTGTTTTTTGGGCCACCATTTGTGCTTCTTTCAGTCAAAAAATTCTCCTACAAAATCCTGCGAAAGTCCTACATAGACCAAACAAAAGCTGTGCCGTGATTGCTTGATGCTTTTTCTCAAAACATATATGACCGAATGTAAAGACATGCTTTTTCTGTCGTTATTGCTTGAGCTATATTTACATATTAACATAAGAGTCCGAGTGTATTTTTTGCATCGACGTAGCAGTCATTGTCCTCAAAGTGTGTTTTCTGCAGGACCTTGATGTGACGCTCGTAGATCTTGAGGGCGGGTCCGAGCTTGATCGACAGGCCGGTCAAAACGTCGTTGCGTTGCATGAGGAGGAGAGACTTCCCGTCGATCTCCTGCGGAGCAGAGCAAAGCGTTGAGTGCAGCAGGCAAATTGTTGCGTTTGCAACAGTTCAGCAGACGCAGTCTCTGGCGCCCACTAGAGGCAGAAACAGGCCCGCACAGCCTCACCTGTGTCCTGAAGGCTGCCGCCTGCTCGGGGAAACCCACGGCTGTGATATAACTGACCACGTCGGACACGGTCCAGTCCACCGGGCTTACTCCGGTGCTGCCAAACTTCATGTGCCTTTGGGTAAAAAAAAAACAAAACAAAAACAAATAAACAGAAAAATCAAGTTGGACTTTTACAAAACTCACTGGGTAGAGAAAAGTCATGAAGCACAGCTACGGGGGATCAAAAGCGACATCAAAAGGAGATTTCTATGGCTAATGTGGCACATATTGTCCACAATTCAGTTGAAAAACTGCTAAATATGTTGGGTGGGAGCAGGGTATGGGAAATGTCAGATAACCCAGTGGTCACGTCTTTAAGCTAACACGTTGTTGAAGCAACTTCAGATTCATTTTCAGCAGTCTTCCTTCAGTCTGCCATCAGTTTCAGTGAATACAGCAAACCGTGTGAAGTTCTTCATGGCAGAAACTCGCTGATATTTGCTTGCTTGAATATTTTAGCTAAAGCCTCGGTTTGCAGGGAAGTTTTAAAATGACTTTATTGTACAAAGGTATAAGTCAGGAGAAGGGAACAATATGGAGACTGCCCTTGTCAAACTGTTCATTCTGCATAAAAACAGGCTGTGAAAGAACCACAGTGCTGGTTCTGGTCGGCATTCAACACTGACATTCTGATCGGACTTTCTGGGCCAGTACTCAACTGGTTCAAACCTATACAGGGACTTTTACGTGTCGGTCGGTAACTTCTCAAATCAACCTGTGGATGTGCCATAACTTGATCAGAAACAGAAAAGAAACTGAATGTATTGTCTTTGGACCCAAGAGGAAGAACCTAGAGTCAGGATGTATCTTATTACGATGAGACACCAGGGATCAGGGCCGAAACCCGGCTGTAGTGACGGACTCTGGCCTGAACCTGCAGCGTCGCATAAAGACCTTTACGAAATCGGCCTTCTATCATCTCCATGATTAACAAACTGATCTCTCAGCACGACCTAGAAAAATTTGTTTTATGCGTGGATGAAATTAAGTTTTGATCCAAAAAGTTTGACTGTTGTCGCAGAAGCAGGAAAATTATTTTTGTAGTTCTGTCCAGAACCCAGAGCTACATCTGACAGAAAATCTGTGTGGTCAACAGGAAGAAGGCTGTGGACGTACGATACCATTCACCTACGATTGACTATTGACTCACCCTCCACTGCTGCCGGTGGCGCCGCGTTCCTCGGGGAGGCTGGAGTCCCTGGGGGAGGCGGTGGGAGTGAGCAGGCAGGACGAAGCTCCGATCTCTGTTTTGTACTCTAAGTCTACCGGGGAAATTTTTGGGGACAAGCGTTATTCACACCAATACGCGCCGGTGCACTCAGGTAGTGAGATATTGGAGAGGGGAAGCCTTACTGTGAAAGCTCGAGGTGCTGAGGTTTACTTCATCCTGGTGTGTGTAGCCCTGTGTGTGGAGGAAACATAGAAAAAGAAAAAAACAGTCAAACAGAATCCAAGGAGAAAGCGAGCAACAAGGGCGACACAACCTTCCTCTGAAACAAAGGACAACAGGAGGTGGCTGCATGATGACACAACTGCAGCGGCACATTAAGACTTTCTGTGGACCTGTGAATGATGATGTGTTGGCTATGAAGCGCAGGTACGGAGGAGCCCGGTTTGCCAAGGTTGACGAGTCACCCCTCTGCCAAGCACTGGGCTGCGCCCTAATTCAACCTGTTTACTTTAAAACATTTCTAAAACACTCTTCTACTAGGAGATGAAAATACAACCGCACTCACTGACAGGTTGGATATTTTCACCCTTGTTCCAGGTGACTGAACTATCTAAAAACACCTCAAATGTTCTTGACTCCTCAAAAAGGGAAAGTCAACGCCCCTGTTAAAACACACACAACGAGGAAAGCACTTTCCTGTGAGACGTGTGTGTGAACCTACACACGCGGGGAAGTATTCGCCCCCGTCGCACTTGTCCGCATTTCGATTGGCTCCATTAAGATTTCACGTTCAGGGCCGACACTTAAGAGCGTAGCTGCAGCTGTGAAACGGAAACCAAACGTTGCTTTCCATCTGTTCCTAATTCTGAAAGTGGAGTCACGCCTTGGAAATCAGCCGCTGGTATTCTGAAACGTCTAATTTCGATGCATTGCAGCTGGAGGTCATCTGATTTGTAAGTAATCAGGACTCTGGCCCACTGGGAACGCGGTTGGAGACCAGCAAGCCAGAACTGTCCGCCGGCAGGCGCTTACAGCATCGCCCCGAACACTGACGTTTTCATGAAACAAATCCACCGGGGACGGACGTGAACTGGACGGACGACCGTCTGGACGCACTCACCAGGTGATCCGAGGAGAAAGCTCCCTCCTCGGAGCAGACGCCGTCACACTCAGACCACGGCGCTCCGTCGGCGGGCGGAGACCGGCACAGCGGAGGAAAATCAAGCTCACTCACCCCTGAAAGGCAGAAAGACAGAGCATGGATTTAAAGTACAAACGTATTAATTCTGCTCACTCTTCAAAAAAAAAAAAAAAAAAGACGAAATTAGGTAGAAGTGTAAACATTAAGGAAAGTCAGACTTTTCCACATTTTGCCCCAGTTTTTTGAACAGTGCATGATTGCAACGTTTAATTGAAATTAGAAACAATTTTATGAAAATTATTCAGAAAAGCAGCCAACATGTGCATCCCCAGCTCAGATGGGATAATCGTTTAATCAGACAGTTCTTAGCTAAATCTGCCCTCTGTCTTCAGGAATGAAGGAATGAAGACAGAGGTCTTCTTCCACAGTTATGTACTATTTCTATTCGCCAATCGCCTGGAATCCCAGCAAAATGCTCTGACGCTTGTGGTTGCGACGTGGCTAAAAGGTGAACATTTTCCGGCGCGGATGCTCTTTTAAGAGTTTAAGGCATCCGAAGATGTCAGAGGAACCCAAAGTGATGGCTGAACTCTGACCTTTTCCGTCCTCCCTCTGCCGCTGAGGCCTCTCCTCCGGCTGCTCCCTCGGACAGCAAGCATCTTCTCCCGTTTCCTGAGCGAGTCCGGCTCCGGTCTTCATGGCTACCGGGGAAAGTCCTCCGTCCTCATCAGAACTCCTGGGATCACCATCGTCTCCATCATTGTCTTCCTCCTCCTCCTCACCGGTTTCCATGGGCTCGCTCTCCGGATGGGCTTGGGGGTGGAGGGGGGAGTAGACAAAAATATTTTTTATTGTTTTATTTTATTCAAAGAGATAAAGTCGAGGGAGGGAGAGGTGGGTTTGGGGGCAGCAGACAGACACATAGCCTATCAGAAATAACGAGCCGCCCACTGTAGTCTAGTCAAGTTCTCGCCTACGGGGGAGAGAGGAGAAGGTTTTAATGAGGCACCGAGAGGAGGAGGGGGAAAAAAAGAAAACACACCAATAAAGTCGATGCCGCGTCCCACGCCGGGCGCCGCCTGCCGCGCGGCCTTGCGATGCGCGCTCCTTTCCGCATGAACTTCCAACAAAAGGGGGGAAGGAAGCAGGAGGACGGGGCGCCGGGCGGCCTGGCAGCGGCTCCTCGCGCTGCTCGCCCTGGGAGCCGCCCGCTCGTCTGCGCGTGCAGCCCGCACAGCGCCGAAGCTCGCGTCTGATTCGGTGCTCGACTAAAGGGCCATTCCGCTGCATTTCCTGACCGCGAGCTACCGCGAAAGAATTCACTCGAAACGCATCTTAAGGACTGCTAACCCGGATGCAACTTTCATAGGTTTTATTTTATTTATTTGTTTATTGTTATTAATGTAGAAAATGTATTCAAGTTCTGCCAAGGCACTGTTTCTGAGAATGAATAAAATATTGAGTGATGCAAAAAGAAAGAATGAATTCACAAATAAGTAGTGTTTGCACAATCTGCCCTCAATGTATTGGGTTGAATTAGATGAAGACTAAGATTTTTGACACAATCTTAGTGTCAAAAATTCTTTTTTTTTTTTTTTTTTACTTTTTACTAATTGAAAAGACACAAACAAACAAAAAAAATTCACTAATGTCCAATTTTCACCTTCCATTCGAATTGGTTAAGGGCTCCACACACCCCAAGATGTTTTCTATAATTTGGTATCACTGATAATCCAGGTTTGACCTGTTAGACAATTCATCTAACAGATCAGGGTTTTAACAACTTCCTCTCCATAACTCGTCATCCATCGTCGCGTTTTCTGTTCAATTTCCACAAGTTAAGTAGAAAGACTCACAAACCGCGTTTTGAGGGACACATGCTGATAAAATTATAAGTATTATGGCTCCGAGTCGGACGCCAACTTCAGCGACGTGCAGCCCGCACCTTTTGTGCAGAAAGCCGAACTACACGCACAGGATCCAGCAGATGCGGCGCAAAAAGAAAGAGAGAGAGAGAGAGAGAGAGAGAGAGAGAGAGAGAGAGAGAGAGAGAGAGAGAGAGAGAGAGAGAGAGAGAGAGAGAGAGAGAGAGAAGAAAAGACGCATCGAAGTAACAATGAACCGACTGGGAACCGAAAAAAAAAATCCCGACTGAGAGGAACAATGTAATAAGAACAGGGTTAATTGAACAGCGATGTAATTTTTTTATCCTCGGTGCCACGCGCGCTGTTTTCAAAACACCGGTCATCAATTGATGAGTCGAGGCAGATCCACTCAGTTCGCTTCGTGGCGACAGACGGGACAGACGTGTCGGAAATAATAAGTTGCCCACCTTCTTCGCCGCGCGCCTGTCCTGCGTTGCGCTCCTCGCGACTCTGTCGGCGGACGAGGCAGTCGGCGCGGGCTCGTCCGGCTCCGACCCCCGCAGAGGAAGAGTGATGTTCCCGCAGCGCGTCCTGCGCAGCCTGCCCCTCTCCACCTCTCTCTCCATCACCACCTTGACTTTGCCTCGGGTCAGCTTCTCCTCCGACAGCCGCTCCTGGCTGCTCAGGTAGCCCAGGATCTCCTTCAAGCCCAGCGGCTTCACGTGGCCTCTGGTCGCGGCGGCGGAACCCCCGCCTCTCCCTCCTCCTCCTCCGCCTCCCGCCGCTCGGAGGGGCTTCTCGGACAGAGCTGCCAGGTCGCGCAGCTCGGAGTTGGCGAGGCGGTGCGCCGCCTTGGCGGTTCCTCCTCCGAGTCGAAGTTTGGGCTGGCCAGACTCGGTCTGCCTCTGTGTCTGGGCTTGGCCGTCGCTCCCGGAGTAAGTTTGGCTCCTTGTCTCAGCACCGCACACACCGGGCTTCTTTCCTCCGCCGGACGGAACATCCTCATTCCGGTCTCCCGTGCTGCCTCCGAGCGGCAAGCAGCCGCCCTCTCCCTGCTGTCCTAATCCCTTGTCTCTCGGTGCACTTGCTTTCTCCTCTTCACAGCCGCTCCCGGCGGCGCAGCTCGTTGTTGCGCCACAACCGAGGCGCCCGTTTCCGCTGCCCGGGCTGGAGGCAGACTGGAGCTTTTTGCTGCGACTGCTGACGGATGTTTCGGCCCGGGGATCCGGCTCCGTCTCGCCCTCCTCCGGGTCGGTGAAGCTGTGCGCGCTGTCGCCGTTGTTGTTGTTGTTGTTCGGATGGTCGGGTTTGGTCCGCTCCCTCGGTGCATCCGCGCCGCCGCCGAACTCGCTCCGCTTTCTGCTCTTCCTCTGCACCTTGGCCGCGTTCCGGTACGATATCGATCCCTTGTAGCTAACTTTGAGCACCGTCTGCTCCTGGATGAGTTTATCCAGCTCCGTCCTGGTTCGGTCTGGGTCCGACCCGTGTCGCCTCCGGACCATTCGGCAAATCCTTTCCAGGTCCGGACGGGCTTTCCTCGAACGGAGAGAGTCGATAGTTTCCAGGATCCACTCTCGGTACTTGTTGGGCTCGGACATCTTCCCTCCTTTGTGGGTGCGGACGGGGCTCGGCCCGAGAGTGCGTCTGCTCGCCTCACCGGTGACGCTGTGTCAGAGCTGGGAAGCCAAAGTGCGGCGGTGCCCCCCACCCCCTCTCCGGCTGGAGAGCTGAGGACGGAAGTCTATGGCAAGCCGTTGCTGCCAATAGTCCGCATCTTTGACGAAGAACAGAACAGACTTCATCTTTATTGCCTCAGGTCTACCTGTCACTGTATCAAGTCTCGCGGTACGATAAATTGTCCCAGAGATCATTGCGATAAACGATAATATTGTTCTTTTGAGACTATTTCCAAGTAATGCCATGATAACGGTGGCACCCAATGCAGGAACACATTCTTACAGATTATAATAAACATTTAACTGGGAAAGCGAGAGACATTTTAAATATCTAACATAAATGAGTAAAACAACAAATAAAATGAATTATGAAGTCTCTGTAATTTGTGCTTCAAAAAGGGGCTAATTGGGACCAAAGCACCAGGCTGAAGATTTTCGTCACCCAGTAGAAAGAGAGAGAGAAAAGAAAAACGATAAAGTAATTATTGAGCTTGTTTTAGTTCATCGTGCATTTAATCGCTTACCGCCAGCTTCCAGACCACGCCTTCACCCGTCACTGCGAGCCTGCGGCCTCTAAGCACCAGTACACCACCAGCCTCTCTGGACACCCAGCTGTTCTGCCACCGGCCTCAGTGATTTCTCAACCACCAACCCACCAAGTTCCTCCCAACCACCAAGATCTGTGGTTGACATACATGTCACCCACCTCAGGTTGCTCTGCCGTCGGTGCTGCATTGGCCACAGATCTATAGCCTGTGTTCTCCTGCACCACCAGCCTGCAGAGTTCAAGCTCCTGCACTGCAGGTCTTCTGACTCCCAAGTTCTTCTACCACCTTAGACTCCCTGCGCCACAGTCGCACATTCACATTGCGCATTCCTGTAGATCCACAATTCTCTGATACCAGGTCTGATTTCAAAAGATTTTCCTGTGATGTCACTCAAGGACACAAACTGGTTTAAGTGCTACCTTAAATTGCATCCGCAGACGTTTCTCTGCATAACCCGAATGTTGGGAATTAACCCACGAAAAGCTCACGTCTAACTTCTCAAAAGTCTCAAATCCCAGAGAATATTTTGAGATCCTCCGGGATTTAGCCAACCTAAAATCATTTTTTTTTTTTTGCCGCATGTCTTGTTACACATCACTAACGGCGTGCTTTAGATTTCTTGTTAAAGTTAGGGACGAATGAATTAATATGAGGTGTTGAACTGCAGCTGCTGCAAACTAGCAGACAATAACTATGTGCTGCGGGGGGAGATGGGAAATATTTACACCAACTGCTTGCCGTAGCCCTGTAGCAACTCCAGCGTTCGTGGGCCACATTGTGCGCTTAAGGTGGACTGAAGATGGCGCCTCCGTCCAACAAAACAGACGCACACAGCTTTTAAGGCGGAACTATCTCGCCTTGTGTCTGTACTCTTTGTTGGAGGTTCGCAGCGAAACTCATCCATCACAGCACAAAGAAACACAGAAGCTCTCTGAATTTTACCATCATCTTTGGGTTTTCTGAAGAATCGGACTGGGCATTTCCAGACAGGCAGAGGGCCACTCCAGTCCGGATGAATGGCTGATCCCCCCCCAAAAAGTCCCAAACAAAAACTGTTGGTCCATTTGTTCCTTCAGTATTTCGTAAGAGTAAAGAAACCATTCCGTACTCGTGTAGCCGAACAGTTTTTTTTTAATGAGTTAAATATATAGACTTTAAGAAATAGAGCTGCCCCAAGATTTTTTGAGACCCAAGGGTGAACTTCATAAATTAATAAATGAACAATTAATTTATTAATTTAAGTTTCCTCAAAAGGTATATGCAAAACACAGGCTTGAAAATGACTCAGAGTGGATTGTGTTTTTATTCCTGCTTGTTTTTTAAATACATTCGGGAAATCTTAAGATCTGGCTGTCGACCCAGTTTTGACATGCTTGTCTTAACTTTTCTGATGAAGTTCTTCAGTAAAACTGCATGTATGAGACGTTTGTCTTCACTTTGCTGACAATGTGAAGATTATCCACGAGATAATAAATAGATTGTCCTCTATTTATTTTTCATTGATGAGCCAAGCTTAATGTTGGATCCAAGCAAACAAAAACACACATACACTGGATACTGGCAGATCAACTTGCAAAAAGTTTAAGTTTTCTGAAATTATTATTTTTTTTTACATTCCAGTTGTATCATTCCAGACTTAACATATGGATATGAGGAAAATCTTTTCAAATTGCACAAATTAGCTAGAATCCATACGGGTGCCACTTTTTACCAAGTTGTTCCACAACAAAATGTAGGCTATTATCATAGTTATGTCACTTCTGGACAGTCTAAACTGGGGCCTGTTTTTCACCACATCACCATAAAGGTCCCACATATAAATGTTGGCAGGACTAATACTTGTTTGGAGCTTCAGTGAAAAATATGAGGAAAAAAAAAACTTTTGCAAATAGTGTTATAGCTAATGACATATTTCCCAGGCATATCCATGTTGCTTGCAGGCGTTTGGCCTAACACAGATACACAACCAGTCTTACTTTAACTGTTCTTTCACTGTGAATTTCATTATAGTGAAAACTAGAATATTTTACAAAAATGCAATCATGTAGCCTACGTGAGTTCTAAGACACTGACAAAATGTGGCGACACATAAACACACATAAAGAAAAACAAACCAGTGGATAGAAAACATTTCTCTTACATGTGTTTATTGTCATAGATGGCCACTGTTCACATGCTTTCTAGCATTTCCATCAAATGTGTTAGAGAAGAATGGAAGGAAGCAAGGAGGAAATATGGAGGGGCAGATTAAAGGAAAGAAGGACACCAGGAAAGGAGGAATGATGGTAATGAGAAAGGAAGAGCAGGACCGAAGTAAGTAAGACAGGACAGATGGAAAATACACAGGTCCAAACAAAGGACACAATTTCCAGACAAAGACACAGGCATGAAATCTGACAATACAAATATGCTTTCTTAGTTTTTCCTTTTTCTCTGTACTTATGCAGCTCTACTGAAATACTGAAATCACGTTTCATACTTTTGTCTACTTTTCCAGACTGCTTAGGAGCCACTGGTTGGTTCATGGTTGGTGGGAAAAAGACAAGTTCACAAAGGCAAGGAATGGGAACCAAAGCCCCAGTTAGTCTTTACTAGAGGATGATTCACACATCTCACCATCATTTTCTTTCTCCATGAACTTGTCCTTATTTGAAGGACACACACACACACACACACACACACACACACACACACACACCCCACACACACACACACACACACACACACACACACACACACACACACACACACACACACACACACACACACACACACACACACACACACACACACACACACACTACTCAGTAATGACACACAAGTTCAGGGGAGATTTTACAAGTAAAACTTTATTGGAATGATACTCATGTTGCAAAATATTACACTTGTTTTTATGTCACTGTTCCCATGACTTTAGATGCTTCCCTTCACAAGAGTGTTTTGTGTGTGTGCGTGTATGTGCGTATGTGTGTGTGTGTGTGACATGGGTCGATATGGTTTACACTGGCTGGGGAGGAGGGAGGTCTCATTTCCCTAAAAAGTGCGGCAGTAGGCTCTTATGTACCAGCATTGTGCCTGCACTGAGAAGAAGTTGTGTCTCTGCAAAAGTGTCTCCGGGATGCTGCATACTGAACCTGACACGAAGGAAATGTTGGGGATGTGATGTCCCAACCACAGATGTAAACAATACCATGATGATAGTAATAGTCTATAAATTAGGCTATTATAGTCAGTGAGCAAGCGGATGACGACCAGAAGGCTGCCATCTGTCTGCCAACATATCTTCGGATTCATCAAGAAAAAAATTTGACAAAACACTCAACATAACAGCTCAAGAGAGACATTTTTAAATCCAAACTAGTGGCCTTACATGGCATACACAAAGTAAACAAGCCCCAGATTTATTGTGGTAATTCAGTTCCTATCATTTAACATACAAGGATACAGAAAAACAAAAGTGAAGCATAACATTAGGTCATTTTATGAAGGGGCCTGAAAGTCCAATGTGAATCACAAGGTAAAATAAATCTTACAGCGGACCATTGTTTCAGATGTAGCATGTGTTTTTATTTCGCAATTAAGTGTTCCAGGTTCACTGTAACGTAGACCAAACTCATTCTGTCTCTGTTCACACAGTAATAATAATAATAATAATAATAATAATGAAGCCGGTGAACACACTTTTGCCTTAGAGTTTCACAATAAAACCAGCAGCTTGAACTGCAACAAATTTACCACATATGTGTTAAATGATGTGAGATGTGAACTGAGTGCTTTTAGATCTTAACCCACTCTGCATTTGTGAGAAGGGTACCAATAAGATAAACCTATTTTTGCAAAGAAGTGTTAAAAAAAAAAAACCCAAAACAAAACATAATGAATTCAGAATTTACTGCAGCGGGATAACCTCCCTCTCGCAAAAGTAGAAAGTCCAAACTTTCACTTGAGTACCTTTATTCAGTGGGGGAAATTATTGAATAATAGAATGTAATAGGTTTTTTTAAACAAAGTTACCAGAGCCATTCTTTTTGGTAGTCCCAACAATCCCTTTAAAATAGATGTAATAGAAACATTTTAATTCAGAGGACAGAGCTGAACTGAGAACTGCGGCAAAATAATGACATCTTGGGGACGCCGAGTCTCCATAACAATCAAAAGCCTTTTCAGTCCCTCCTTCATTAACAGAAACACGGACAGCTTACAAAACTCTACTGAGACCTTGAACAGTGGTATGAGCTTTGGTCAGATGATACGGAGACTTAAGCTTTTCAGCGTCAAACACTGTAAGTGGGTTTGGAACAAAGTATGAATACGTGCAAATGTCATGTTGACTGAAGTACGGTGGAGGATCTGTAACGATGTGAGCCTGTTAATTATAAATTCTTTGAAATACCTGATGATTTAGAGAAAAGCCTGAAGGCCTTTACCAGTAAACTGTAACCAGTCTGAAGATCCAAGACGCTGGACAATCGAGAGAGATTATGTGAAGAAAAACGGCCAAAAGTCCATCTCTGTAAATGCTGTACTATTGTAAAAAGGTGAGTGTTTGAAATCTTAACACAGGCTCCCAGTAACTGTGTCATTGATTGAATTGTCAAAAACAACAATTGCCTAACATGGTATTTCATTCCTCACTGAGTAAATTTACTTCAATAATAAGTTGGAATATTTTAAAAATGTGTGATATTATGGCACTACAATAAAATATTTCTGTAATTAACATTTTTACCACACGTGATAACATATTGTGTTTATGTCGCTTCCTGCAAGTTCTCTTATTTGATGTTTATTGATAAAGCAAAATCATTGCTTCACTGTATCAGCCTGACACTCTCCCTCTTCGTACCATTTATCTGTGTTCAAGGTATATCAACACAATGTAAATGTGGGGCCCTATGTGGACAAAGAAAATGGTCCACATAGCTACCCAACCCTCTTGGATCTCTTGACAGTGCTATCTGGGGATGTTGCGATGCACCTGTGGGACTTCAATCCCCATGCAGGCAATGTCCAAAATTTGATGATCAATTTTGTAATCATATCATCAGACCAGTGGCGTTGCATCTTGGAGGCTCAGTTGTCAATGAATCACCACCTGGTAGTGAATTGGATCCAGTGGCAGGGGAGGCTGCTGGAAAGACCTGAAATGTTTGGCGGAGGAACTTGTCCCAGTGATGATCAATTCCCATCTCCAGGAGAATTTCTCTCTTGTCCCAAAGGAGGCTAGGGACATGGAATCTGAATGAACCATATTCAGAATTTCCATTGTGAACATGGTCAATGTTGTGGCATTAATAGTATCAGTGTCTATCTTGATGGCAACCAGAGGGCCCTTGATGGACACCACTAGTGATGGAAGGCATTACTAGTGGTGTCCATGAGACATCCGGATCTCATTTTTACATTTTCTACTTAAGATGGGGGGTTCTCAGCTCATGACCTCCAGTGGGCACTGGAGCAGTTCAGTGCAGAGTGTGACGCAGCCAGGATGAGAGTCCGCTCCTTTAAGTCTGAGGCTAAGGTTCCTGGCCAGAGAAAGGAAGACTGTTCCACTTTCAGTCAGGGGTCAGTCTCTGGCTCAAGTAGAGGAGTTTAAGTATCGAGGTGTCTTGTTCCCAAGACAGGATGAGAATCTCTGGGAAGCAGCTGAAAGTCGAGTCACCGCTTCTCCACATTGAAACAGTCAGTTGAAGTGGATTGGGCATCTGATCAGAATGCCCCCTGGATGCCTCCCACTGGAAAGAGTTCCAAGGGAAGACCCAGAATTCACTGGTGGGATTATAAAGCCCATCTGGCATGGGAACGCTTTGGGATCCCCCAGAATGAGCTGGATGATGCTTATGGGGGGATGAGATGTCTGGGGATCCCTCTTGGACCCGATCTTGGATAAGTGGAAGACAGTAGATACATGGATGGGAATGGTCTCTCCTAAGAGACACGTGTGGTAAAGGATACTGTGAACTCAAGTCGACCACCCGGATAATTCCTTCATGTTAAGGCGTTTCAAACACCACTCTAATTTACAAATGATGCACACAGATCAGTAACATTACAGATGTGTATTTCAAATAAAAGGCCGATCATATTTTCTCATATCTGAGATTTTTCACAAAGTTGAGACTCGACAAAAAACATGATGAAAGGAATTTCTTGTGCCTATCTGAACTATAATATTTCACATCAAATTATAACTTAATGCCTGAAACAAACAATTTAATCCTCTCAGGACATTGTTTTAATGCCCTGCTTTCAAACTGTGTCGAGCAAAGAGACCCCCGAACACCCGAGGTGGCCTTTGGCATAAACCTTTAAATCGCCAGGTTGTTTACTGTACATGTAAAAGGATATTTCAACAGGCTATGGCAGGAAAATAATTATCAAACATAGTTCTTCTCAGTAAATACATTTCTATTTGTCCAACTGACATAAAATTCACACTAGATGTCTGTAACAACCCAAGAAACTCCCATTCAAAGCAAGATCAACACAAATTACTCCAGAAATTAAGCTATATGAAATAAACCTGAATGAAAAAGGCAACTGAACAGAACTGAAATCTGTAACAACGGAGTAAGCAATCCTGCTTTATATTAGTTCAGTTATCAATAATTCATGGCAGCTGATTTAGGCGAGAGCATCAACAATTTCTCTTTTATGCTATCGCAAGAAAAGCGTAAGAAGCAATTTTACGACCTCCGCACCACTGTCATTGCAAAAATACAAATCGCACTGGTTAGAGACATATTTCTAAACTTCTGAATGTTCCACTGAGAGCCAGTACAGGCATTATCCGGAGGAGAAAAGAACACAGTGTTTTTTGTAAAATTTCTGACAAACAAAAAGAATAATAATAAAAAAAAAGAAGAATCAGATCAGGTCTCCAAAAGTAAAGCATTGGTCTCACTGAGCTTTAGTAATCCAATTTTATTTTATCATGGAAATAAATAATAAACTCAACCACAATGGCCTCATTAAAAACTAACTATGCAAGACTCCCTTATTGAAAAAGGATGAGTTTGCTCTGGCTTGCTTTCAGTCTGCTGAAAAACATTTTGGTCAAGTCAGTGGAACACTGGCTGATCATCTTTGGACGAGACCAACATTAAACTCTTTGAATGTTTGGAGAAGAAACGGCACTGGACACCAACCCCCAAAAACACTAGATTGATAGTGACATTTGGAGGTGGGAACATTATAGTGTGGGCCTGTCTGACAGGATATGGTGCTGGCAGCATTGATAGGAAGAAATGCACCAAGATATTCTTAGTAATGCCCTTGGTACAATATTTTGTATCAGTTCTTTTTTTTTACCTCAGGAAATAATGTGATTGGAAAATAATGCATAATGCATATTCAACATTCAACTTTAATTATAATATAATATAATTCAAAATGACAACTGAGAAGTTTGACTAGTTTCTACATACATCTTAAAGCTTCTCTTTCAAATATTTAAGAGAATTCAACTTTATAATATACAACCTGATTCATGGACTTTGTTGTTTTTATTTCTTTGTATGTACAGATTATTTGGGTTGCTAGCAACATCTGGTGTGAATATCATACCAATAGCCTCATAGGAAACAAATTCACTGAGGAAAAACATGTTGAATACAAAATTCCCCGATGGATATTCACCTCCAGGCGCTTCACCCAATCTCTAACTTGACAAATAGAGTACCAATCATTTTCAGATCATCAATACATACACATAAAATGAAACTTAGCAAAACTAGAGCATGTCCTGAACACACACAAAGGAAATGATAACAGAGTCGCACGGCTCTCTTTTGTGATACGAGCAAACAGCAACGATCAAGGTAAAGCACACGATCCTGATCGCCGTCCGTACAGACTGGAGCCCTGATGGCCCTCAGCCAGAAGCAGTCGGCGGTCTTCTGCCTCACACGGTGTCTAAAAGTCAAAACCAGGGGGCCAAACGGTCGTTTCAGCAAGTAGAATAATCTCATGTAGTAAATTAGCTCTGAGCTGAAACAGGAAGTGCTTTTATCAAAACTGACCAAATATTCTGGAAGGGATAAAGTGTGGAAGACGCAAACTAAAACTCTAAATAGTCCCTTTTTTTTCTGCTCCTTTTAAACTCGTTTAAGACCAGAACTTCAAATTCCCAAATCTGTACTCCGAGATTTACCTGCTGATCCATAGGCGTTATGGAGATAAATGTCTGTTAAGTGATATGTTCAAACCTGAGTTTCCATTATGCGCTCGGTGTTTTCCTCACACCATTGAAACTGAGAGAAATCCGTTCTTTTTATTCACATGTCATTGTACTGTACGTTAGCGTGATATGGTTTCACTGGAGCCACTAAGTACCTACTAACATTTAAAAATGGAGTACTGCAGATATGTACAAAGTCTGTATATATTAACAATAATAAGAGCCAGAGATGGAGTTACACAACAGACGTACCTGACTTTTTGTTTCGTCTTTCTTTTGGCCTCTCGTGCCTTTGAAGTGATTTATCTATGACATGGGTCAGGTGAACTCAAGACAAAATATATACCGCATGGGAATTCATCTTAACGTGTGTCGTGTTTTGCTCAATTCGCCTCATCGGTGTAAACTGACGATGTCTTACGTGCACGCTCATGTAATTACCGGCAGATTGACTGGTTGACTTGTCTTTGCTGTGGCACGGAAACAAACAGAACAGAAATGAATGCAGAAACGGGAAGATCTCGGGTGAAAATGCGTAGAGGCAACTCTAAGTCAGTGGGGCTCCCGATACCCATGAAACACAGCGTCGTTATAAAGGGATTCATAAATAAGACGACAATAAATAAAACACAACAGAAACGCAACAGAAAAGGCAACACTGCTGGTTATCAGTCTCCGCTCTCTTTTTCACACGCCTCTATTCGATTTTTTTTCCCTTTTCTTTTTTGTAGCTGGTGCTTACATTTGGACAGAAGACAGTACACTTTTCTTGTGTCTCCCTTTTGACCAGCCTACCTTAGACTCTCCCTATTTTCCTTATTTCTTCTCCTCTAACTCTAGAATTCTGCAAACTCCTTGGCACATTTCTCGGTGAAGGAGACGCGAATCTCCTCCTCTTCATAGTCGTCAAAGTTGCTGGTATCGCCTGGTCCTTTGAACTTTGGAACAAAGGGAGCTTCCACCTGGATACAACCAAAAACGCAAAATGCTCCGAATCACAATCAAATGCAGTGCAAACAGAGACACGGGGGTGTGCAATGTAGAAATATCAACACACCTTTTTCTGGTAGATGGCAATCCAGTCAGTTGTTGCGAACCACTTATGTCCTTTGATGTCGTTGACTCCGTTTTTGAGGTTCCCAAAGCGTTTTGTGAGATCCACCTGAAAACAAGGGAAGGACGTTCTCCTCAACTTGGAAAAATAAACCACATCTCACTGTAAGTTCAGGATTTCCAAGACTTTTGCCTTCACCTGTAAGAGGTTCCTCAGTAGGTCCTTCAGGTCTGAACTGAAGTGAGATGGGAAACGAACCTGAGGACAAGGAAATACAAGAAGCTAATGTGTGAACACAGTAACAGTGCCAAAAAGAGCTCCACAACAAGTCACCAAAAAAAAAAAAAAAAGCAGGTGAATGGGAGTATTGGGAATCCTTCTCATCTTTGTTTTGTCTTTTGGTTTTACCCTTCAGGGGTTGCCACAGCAAATCATCTAAATCCATTTCATGCTATCCTCTGCATCCTCTACGCTCACACCAACTTTATGTCCATCCATAAATCTTGGGTTTGGTCTTCCTCTCAGCCTACCAAGCTACTGACATGTCTGCACATGTCCAAACTATCTCAGCCTGGCCTCTCTGGTGTTCCCATTGCTAATCCCACCACTGCCAAACAGAACCTCGACATCTTGAGCTGTGACACCTCCAGTTCTGCCACCTATTGGCACTGCCTCTAAACCATACACCATCACCGGCTTCACTACTGTCTTGTACACTTTTCCTTACATTCTTGTTGAGGCACTTTCATCACTCATCCAACTCTACGCTTCTCTCCATCCATTCCAGCCCACTTGAACACACTTCTTCACCTCTTTTCCTCTCTTCTTCCACTGCTCTGGAAGATTGACCCCAGGCCTCTACCTTCTTTACCTTTACTTCCTGTGACATCACAGGAAGTAATGTGCCCCTCTCACACATTCTGCCTCGCTGCGACTGATCTTCGTTCCTCTCTTTTCCAGTACACACCTCCACCTGTCTTGTTTTTCCTCTCTGTGCGCCCTGCTCTTACTGCAGATCACAATGTCGTCTGCAAACACCATAGTCCTTGGGGAACTCCTGCCTATCCTCATCCTCATCTGTTAGTCTGTCCATCACCTACACAAACAAGAAAGAGAGAAGTCCACTTTGGTTTTTGCACCAGAGGTTGTTGGTGTCAACTTCCGACTGATTGTTTATTTTTACCAAACGAAAACAATTCTGAACTTGCCGTTAAATGAAGCACTCTAACGGTGTCAAATTGCAGTCGTCGAGGGGCAGCGTCCTGAAACTTTTACATGTGTCTCTAGTTCACCAACACTTGAGTCAAAAGGATGACTTATCTCCTCAGTATGCAGTCAAGTTCTCCAGAGTCCTGCTAATGGCCTAAATACTTGATTCGGGCATGCTGAAGCTGAGACTCGTCTCAAAGCTGCATGACACCGGCTCTCGAGGAGCGAAATCTGACACAGGTGCAAGACGGTTACTTCATTTAAAATAGGGTTGCGTGATATCAGGGAAACGTAACTGGGATACCATTTAACGCACAATTTCATTTCTTTTCTTTTCTGTTTCCACTGTCGTCATGTTCCCACCACTATTTTGCAAACAGAAGGCATGAATCAAATATTGCATCCAAACAGTCCTTGGTGAATATGATGTTGCAGTTCAATATATTAACATATAGCTCCAAAAGGCTTTTAAAATCTGTAACAAACTACTTGCTGAAAATTCTGATTTCTCTAATAAGAAGAAAAACTTTTATCTTTAATGTTAATTCTTATGTTTTGCCTTGTAGATTGGTTCACATCTTATAAAAACATCAAACTCTTGGATTATTAGTTGGATTATGTACAAGGACTGAAACTATGCACTCTTGGTGAGATTTATTTATATGAGACCATAAATCTGAAAATTAAATAATGGACCATGAAACGTCTGGATTTCTTGCCGAAACATTTACGTACTTTAGAAGAAGTCTACAGAAATCAGTTTTTAAACAACAAAAGAAATGTATCGGAAATAAGTAACTTTTTTTTTCTCAAAAGCACAAGACAAAACAGAAAAACAGACAGAAAAAAACCCACCAAATGTTCAGTCCAAAACTCCAAACATTTTAAGTGTCAGAGCAAAATGAAAACAGCAAAACTCACCTTCCCTGATACAATCTTTTCATAGATTTGAATTGGCTGATCGGCAAAGAAAGGAGGATACCCTGCTGCCATCTCGTAGACGAGAACACCCAGCGCCCACCAGTCCACTGCCTTGTTATATCCCTGCCGGTGAGAACATGTGGAGAAAGTTCACTTGAAAGCACAATATTAAATATAAACAATTTCCTGGATTTATTTGCTCTTTTGTGAAATATTTGTGATATTCATCGCAGCTAGGATCATATTTTGGCTCCATTTACAAATCGAGACAGGTCAACACGATCCATAACTCGGACAGTTTTTATATATACATATTGTTGTGATGTTAAAACAAAATGTGGTTTAATGCGGTTTCCAATTGCCTCACTTCAGGTACTAACAAGCACAATCGAATTAAACATCCCCAAAAGGTCAAGGGAAGATGGATGACCTTGCTGAGGATGATCTCTGGAGCCAGATATTCTGGGGTGCCACACAGTGTCCAGGTCCGGCCCTTTACCCGTTTGGCAAAGCCAAAATCTGTAACCTGAGCAGCAAGGAGAGAGAGAAAAGACAGACATTTATTTTAATCAGAAATGACAGAAATAAAATAGAGAGAGACGGATGGAAGAGAAACATCTTGGAGCAGAAGGAAATATTTGCTGTTAATTCACGTTGCACCACAAGGTGGCGACACAACCATTCAGACTCTTCTAAGTTTTACTACAATAATATAAATATAAATTTCATTTCCAGACAGTTTTTTAGATTTTTTTTTTTCATATTTTTAGGAAATTATGAACATGTACACTTCACTGTTTGGTTTTCTGTGGTTTCCAGAGTTTTACCGCATTTATGAATTTATTTAAAATCCTGACAATCACCGCTGCCGGTATTTTACCGTAAATGATAGACTTTTTTTACAGTCTGGAATGGATGATTTTAGTCCCTTTAAATCCCAGTTTGTGATTAAAAATTCATTTTATTTCAAACAATTTCAAAATAACAGGGAACAAACACAAAATCTGATATCAGAGAAAGAAATCCAAATGCACAAACACGAGAATAAGCTGAGTACTTAACTACAAGAAATGAGCTAATATGAGAACACCCTTGTGATAATAATCAACACAGAAAAATAAACTGAATGTGGCAAAACCTACAAAACATAAATAAAACGACATAAGCAAAACTGAAAACCAGGACACAAACACCAAAAGATCGTGAGAGAAGAAATTGAATCTCTGACCTGTATGTAGCCCTGTTGGTCAATGAGCAGGTTTTCAGGTTTCAAGTCTCTGTAGATCAGGTCCAGAGCGTGCAGGTACTCAAAGGTCAGCACGATCTGAGCAGCGTAGAACCGAGCGTGCGGCTCACTGCACGAACAGGAGCACAGCAGGAACCGACAGTGAGCGGTGTGGTTAAAACTTTGGAGAGCTATGACACAGCAAAAACACCAAAGCGTCTTCGTGGCCATCATCAAAAACTACTGAACGCCTCCTCAAAGCACCACTTCAATCAGCAACTCCAGGAAGTTGGGGTAGCAACTGTTAATGCAAATTCATTCATCATTTGCAATTTTTTTCTCAGACTTTTCAGCAGTCGTTACAACTTTTCTGCAAATCTGACGAATCACCTTAACATTTTTTTGTTTTTCATTCTTTCCTGACCAATCATTGGAACTTGGGTGATTTTTGACCAATTTCCTCAGCCTCCTGTTAATAATGTAACTTCTTGTTTGTCTCCAGAAGCAGACAGTTCATGTTAACTTGAATGACCAATAAGAATTTCTTCCTTTGCACTTTGACAACTCCTCTGGACATGACTTTATAGGCATTAAGTATGTTATCTTAAGACTGCACTTGAAGATGTTATCTGCATTTTCAGTGTTAACTCTGTTAAATCCTGTCTTTTATTGGCGAGTTATGGCAAAACAAAGCTTAAAAAATGCAACTTTGACCACAACTTCTTGAAAGAAGGTGCTGCAAAATCAGTTATTTTTAGGCTGCACCAGTCACAACAACAAAAACATGGCAACCTTTTAGAGGGACTGTTAAATGCTGCAAAGACACTGACCTGAATCTGCCAATTCTTCGTAGGTGGGAAAACATCTCTCCACCTGGTACATACTCCATAACCATGTAAAGGTTGGTGTTGTCCTGGATGCATACATTAAAGGACAAAGATTAGGAATACGTACAATATACAAACACACAATAAACTGGAAGAAGACGTGGGAATCTGAGCATAAAGCTTGTTGCCTTCTTGCTATTGTGTGTTATTCCCTGACTGTTTTTAGGCTCTGGTGAAATAAACCTGAAATGGCAAGACTGCGACACAAATAAAGTGGCAAAATAGTTTCACAAAAACTCAAAATAGCAGCTTCAAAGGTGAACTCTAGAGTCAGTTTGTCTCTTTTGGGCTGCAGAACAACAACTCAGTAACATAAGAGCTGAGAAAAGCTTTCTCTTAAGAATGAAATCCATTTACCTGCAATTTTATTCCATTGAAAGCTTTTTTAATATATAATAATTATACTGGACCTCTCAGATTCACTGGTGGCATAGATTCGTGTTCGTTGGTTCCACTTCAATCCGTGTGCAGAGCAGCACATATGGACCGTTAATAGGTTTATTTAAGGCCTCAAGGATACTGAATGCCTGCCCAACCAGGTGCGTCTAAACAGCTTAACCTGAGTAAGGACATAATTGGAGTCCGACCCTCATCTGGGTTAGTCTGTGTAGGCGCAAGAGTGCTGCTGACACCTCTTCACATGGCCGGCCTGATTTTGTTCTGCTGAGACGGGGGTTTACGGTCTCGGAAGAGGCAACAGCACGACAGAGGCCAGAGGATCAACAAGGGCATCACAGAGGAAACGACTGATGAGACGGAGCCAGGATTCCCACACATTTTCCATTTCAAAATTCAGTTCTTTTCCAGATTGACAGTTCTAGATTTTTCCCAAAAGTTTTACTTCCATTAAGGACATACAACAATGAGTCTAATCTGGATTGGTTTATCCAAATTTATTAAAGACTCTTGAATGGATAGGCTCTTAAAAAGTTTACAAATGGGGGATCACAGCCTGTGATTGGCTACACATGTTCTGATAGTAGAAGAAGGAATGAATTACATCTATATTGCATCAAGTTCAGAAAATACAGATTCTGAAAAAGGCATAAAAAAAAAAGCATTGAATCGATGGCATGTTTAGATTTTTAAATGTATCTTTTTCTGATGAATGATGTTCTAAATCCTCACGTGACTAAACAGCGACTCTGACTGTTATTGTCATCAAATCTTACGGTACATAGACAAAGATGAGTAAAGGTTGCCAGGTGATCTAAATGGAGGAGGGGTCAGCGACCGGGTCATCGGAGCTCTAAGCGTTTGGAGCTCACACCTCTCCACATGCCACACAATCATTTCGTTATGCAGCGACAAACAAGTTCACGCCTGATGCTGCCTCTGCATACAAAGAGGCGACTGATGCGACATAAACAGACAGTGCTGTGCAGAAACTTCACAACAGCAGCAGCCAGTTTGATTCAATTAAGCGCAGCAGAGAAGCGGATAACGGCGAGCGCCCATCTTGTGTTTTTGTTTTTTTTTAGCTCTTTGTCTTTTATTTTTATTGTCTGAAACGCTTTTATTCTGTCACGTTAACATGTTTTGAGGAGAAGCTCTAGACAGTCGGTCTGAACGCCAAAAAAAGCCCCCAACTTGCGACCGCCCACAAATACAAACAGGGACACCGTCAGACGTTCTCCGCACCTTGAATGAATACTCTAACCGCACAAGAAAGGGAAAGCTGACAGCCTGGAGGATCCTCTTCTCATTCAGAGTGTGCTCTATTTGCTTAAGCTTCACCACCTGGAGGTCACACACACAAGCAGAGGAAGAAAAAGAACTCAGATTGATCACATAAAAGATTTGTGAAATTTGAATTAGGTAATAAGCAAAAAACAAAAAAAATCTCTCTTCCGAGAACGCCCTATCATCACCTGAGAGCTAAACAAGCTATTTGAAATACAACATTACTTTCACTAAACAGTTAAATGCTAAGCTAAGTGGAAATGTAACTGTGTATTCAGCTGACTAGATTAGTCACTTGATGCTGGGCTTTGGAAAACAAGACGCTGAATGTTTTTGTTTTCACACTTTTCACAGAAACTGCACTTTAAGGACTCTGAAATAGTCGAAACAAGAGTTTACTGAGATCTCTTGGCGTAACATCTCTAAAAATGTAAACACCCCGATGCATTTCTTATCAAAGAGGAGCATGTCTAACAAAACGTCAGCTTGTTAGGTCTGAAAATGAAGGTGAGCTCTTCAGGCCCGACAGACAATTTCCAAGTTTAAGACTCGCGTTTTGAAGCAGCAAAGAAGTCGCGTTTGAATTGTTGACGCAGTTTTCATCGCGATCACTCTGAGGATAGCATAACCGGCCTTCACACCCATAAAAGTCAGGTCAGTGCATCCCACGAGCAACAAGCGGGAACACCGAACATGAGCATCTCCATGACGATAACTTTTCTAATCCCTCCAAACCTGTGATCTCGATGACCTCCGTTCTGCCGAGACTGACCTTCTGCTTGTTGAGGATCTTCATGGCGTAATGCTGTCCCGTTTCTCTGTGCTTCACCAGCATAACGCGGCCAAACGAGCCCGTGCCCAAGGTTTTCAACCTCTCAAACTGCTCCAGGCTAGCAGTGTTCTGGACACGTGAAAAGCAGGAAAGGGTTAGCACTTTTTTCTGAAACAGGACGGCGGAGGCGCCATTGCAAAGCCATTTTCACAAACGCATGCAATGGATGCCCACAGACAGACATCAAAATATTTCATAACAACAAGAAAAATGAGATAAGTACTGCAAAGTCAAGTCTAATATACAACCTAAGGAAAAAAATTGCAGATTTACATTCATCTGTCGGCTTCAGGTCTGGGCATTGAGATTGTTCGATTTGGTCTTTTGGTTCATTTGGTCTTGAGGTCACATTGATTAGTGACCCCAAAATGTTACTAAGTGAAGCTGCTAATCTTCCTGTATATTTCCCCGACTTACACAGGGATCAATTGTTGGTCTTTCCCAGTTTGAAGAATGAAAAAGTGATAGTTATCCCTCAGGGGAACTAATAAGGTCGTGGATTCTAGACTAAAACTTCCTCAAACAAAAGAGTTCAAGATACCAAAATGCTTCAATTACATTTAAATGAGCAGACAATGTTGAGGGGGCTTTAGTGATTTTGTTAAAAAAGCTGCTTTTGAAACATAATCGTAACGCGAATAGACAATCTGATGTGTGACGACGGCAAAATGTAATGTTTCAAATGTTCAATCTTTACCATCGAGCAAATACCTATCAGTGCATAATGCAATAAAGAGAAGACACTTTGGTAAACCATGAAAAACTATTGTCACAACAACTGCATTGATGTATTTTAAGACACAATCATATCAATCCCTGAACAGGTCATTAGACAGTGATGACTTGATGCAGAGTGGTTGGTGGGGTGTCCACCTTCCAGTCAAACCTTATCACACTCAAACGAGCCGAATAATTAAGACATTGCAGTAAAAATGTAAAACTATTCATTTCTGGACTTCTGTGCGGCTGACAGGCAGAAATGGTCCTAAACCAAAACACAAATGGCAATTGCAAGAGCGTCTTCCACTTTCTGCACATTAAGGTGAAGGTGCAATCAAACAGATGCAAACCTGTGAAGGATTCTCCCATTTCTTGAGGAAGTCCTCTTTGGCTTTAGCAAGGAATTCCTTGACTGCAGGAGGACGGGAGAGACGTGTGTTAGTGGTTTGTTGTTACAGATGATGAGAGATGCAACAGAGTCTGCTGATATCTGTAGAGGTCAACGACACAACGCATGACTAAAACCTACATTCTGCTTCACTGTTATTTGTGGCATTACTTCACAACTTTGACTAACATGCAAAGCAGTTCCAAACAATAATTTGTATCCAACACACACACACGCAAGCACACCCACCCACACACACACGCACACACACACATACACACACACACACACACACATACACACACACATATATACACAGTCATACTCATAAAAATGCAGCACACCTCAAAAAGTCAGCATAATTACACGTTTCAGTGCTCAGACTGTGGTAAGAAATATGATATGCAGTTGTTTTTTTTAATCTATTTATTATTTAGATAGATATTTTTATATTAAAACAGAAATAAGGTACAAGACAGGTTATGCTTTCCGGAAACTCTAAGAGCCGATTCTTGAAACTGGAAGCAGAGTAAGAGGTTTCCAGTCTGCATGGCAAATAATCTTCAATTCCCAAAAATGAAATACATAAATAAATAAGAACGGGCTGAGCAAGCATCTGCTCTGCAAAGACAAACCGCCTGAACGTACAAGACACAGCAGAGGAGAGTCTAACTAATCCTTGTTGCACAGCAACCTTGTTTGATCATTACACAGTGGGATATGTTGTAGTTGAAGTGCTTGTAGCACATGTCCCGCTAATGTTTTGCCATGCAAAACCACTTTCTGATGTGTCATGTTATATTACAATGCAAAGAGGGAAGGCTTTCAATTTCTGCTCCACAATAAATTTGCATTGAGAGCGCAGATGCAGTCCAGGCCTGTCGCGGCAGCAAATCGTATTTTG